TTTGTTTGATGCAATTAGGCGAATACCCCGTGGTTACGAAATCTTACGATCATGAATTCCTCAAGAGCAATTCAGTTACCAACTTTTCACAAAATAATGCTGTGGAAAATTACATAAAATACCAAAAAAGCAAGGGTCAACAATAATTATGGCCTGGTCCCTTATAATAATGGAGTGGTCATGATAAAGAAGCCCATCAGCCCCAACTTTGATCACTCAAACAGATTTTAGACAGATTACATACTGCAAAACTTTGAATTCACTTATGCCTATGTTGCCACACCAGGAGCCTAGAAATCGGCTCCTGGTCACACCTTGTTTTTATTGCTGAATATCATTCTAAGGAGCTTTACGAAATATTTTGTTAGTAGGGGTGTTTTGAACATGATTGATATTTAGAGATGGTGACAAAAACGAACACAGAAAAAGTCACGAAACAAGACGCATGAAACAAGCGCAATCTAATATTCGTTTTACACCGATATAATGGCTTCTTTGGCTGCTATCCTGACGTTCTTGAAGATGGCCAGTAGTATCACAGCTAGTCCCGGATTAGTTATACCGTTTATTACCAGTTTCACGGTTCCTGAGGGCGTGTTAACATAAAGGTGGGGGACCCCAGGTAGGTGAGGTAACCTGCTTAGGTGGGGTAAAAAAATAAGCCTCCTTTACGTGCAATCTTACAACCCCGTCATTCTGGGGTGCAGTTTCTCAAGATTATATGAATGGTCGCTAACCATGTAAACAAGAAAAATGCTGGCATATCACGTCTACGCTCAATTACTGCTCTTGCTGCAACCTTCATTGTTGTGGCTTTCTATTGTTACCTTTAATAATTATGTGAAGCCACCCAGCGCCAAAGTGAATTTTGCGCGAATTTGATGTATCTCGAATCCGACCCCGACTAGCTTGGGTTTCCTCACCTTGAAACGTTGACATGGCAAAATTTGACCTCAGCTGAGAGGGTTACCTGGTGTGGCAGACCGGGCTACCCACCTTGAAGGGTGACCCCACCTATCATGTAAACGTGATCAAATTAAAATGAGAGATTATATGGACAGGCGGGTTACCCCACCTAAGTGGGTTACCATTCCTACCTGGGGTCCCTTTCCTCCATGTAAACAGGCCCTAAAAGTTAGCCCGGCCCCCTTTCTACAGTTTCAGCAGTTAAACTATTCACCATTTATCATTTGAGTCAATCTTGTACCACTTGAGTCTCATTTTTTTTATTTTTGGACATGAGTGCTTCAGTGCCAAATGTAGAGGCTTCATGATAAACTGTGCTGTTTTTGGAAGCTTGGGCTAACTTGTTTCTTTTTTTCGTTTATGAGACCAGATTCTTTTTTGTTTGTTTTTGCTTTGTAAAGCTTAGACAAACTGCGGAAATTGTAAATGATATGACTTGTGCCACGGTGCTTGCTTCTCTGTCAAAACATGCACTTGCGTCCAGCAGATAACTGGATAAAGAGAGACTGAAAGGCATCCAGGCCTATGTTAAACTGAAAAATTAATTACCTCCCTAGGAAAGAACTATTTTGGGTTCTGTCATTTCGTTATTTGCTCTTCATGAATAGCTGTCATAAATCCCTGATAATATGTGATACAACGGACTCTTTGACAATTTCTTTTTCCTGAAATTTTGTTTGCTTTCTTCAGCTTAAAGTGACATGTAATGACAAGTAATACTTGATAAATAAGGCTTAAGCCACACAATAAGGCCTCCTCTAATTGAAATAGTAATAACAGTAATAACCAACTTAATTATACAATCAATGAGCAAAAATGGATGGGAATGCCAGATGTTCGAGTGAAATTGTTGTTTACAACCTAAGAATAGAATTCAGAGTGATTTAAGGTATTAAATAACAACTTTCAATCAAAACACCACAGGGACCCCAGCAGGTGAAATTTACAATAATTAAATCCTGTTTAGCACGCTTCAGTGGCATATTTGCATTAGGCACCCCCTCTAATATTCATGGTACTGCAATAAGCCATCGCTGTGCAAAGTTTGGTGCTTTTGTCAACTCTGTAACGATCCTGACCCTAAGAGACCTGACTAATATTAGAATGTTCTGCATAAACTGGGAGCTGCAAGATACAAGTTCAAGGCACTAGGGTATTATAAAGAGCAAAAAGCATATTCAAACAGCTGAAAATGGCATGTAGCTAGCCTAGCCAATGGCACTATTATGGCATCAAATTAAGTGGAAAAAGGCCTTAAGTTGGTCTTGAAGTTGTTTCCCCAACCCATTCCCACAACAACCTTTACAAGACAAGAAGTAGTTGTTATCAGGTTCAAAAAATTTCTCTTAACAAATTTCACAAGTGTTCAGAACTATGGCTTCTTAGGAAATCAATCTAATTGCCTTATAAAATCAATAAATTTTTGTTTGATGAAATCTAAGAAATTCAATATTAAACATCACGGTTTCATATTTTTATTTTCATTTCAAGATTTCTTCAGCTGAATTACATTTTCCTTTTACTCCTGTATCCTTCGCATCCCCAGTGTCGTCTATTACATGCTCTCCTTTCATTCCCTTTAAAACTTTCTGAAAATTAATGTAAAGGAAGGTAAAAAAAATAGACAATATATAATTTAAAAAAAACTAAACATTTGATGTACAATGCCTTGCTCAGAAATTATGCCTGTCAGGCAGGTAAATTAAGATTAAGTGTCAACTATCCAAAATTTTCGCATCTCTAAAATTGCAACCTCCTTCAGAGTGATTTTACTTAACGCATGAAACAGGAAGTAGAATACTGAGCACTATTATGCACTAATTCTGTTGTCTTCTTTTGTTTATTTGTAGCTATATTTTGCACAGGTTGTTATTAAATGTTTCATGGGTCAAATAAAATCGCTCTAAGTCGCAATCATATAAAGGACTGAATGATAGTCATATCATTAAAAATCAGGTAAAACTAAGACACCCGAATATTACAAGAGCTACTGGTGCTATTTTCAAAATAGACTATTAGAATGTTCTGCATGAACTGGGAGCTGCAAGCTAAAGTTCAAGGTACTAGGTTATTATAAAGAGCAAAAAGCATATTCAAACAGCTGAAAATGCCATGTAGTGTTTTTTTTTTTTTTTTTTTTTTTTTGCTTTTCGCGCAAAACCGTGTAAATTAATGATTCTCGTGATTTTTTCCTACCAACGATTCGAACAACAAAGGCAAAATAAGCCCACTATAGCCCTGTAACTAGGAAACCAACGCCCATTTTGTTCAATGAAAATAAAGCCTTTGATACTAGTATACATACAGTGTACAGTGATCGTCTCATGCCCAACTACGAAGAAACTTTTTTCTAGCTTCGTGCAGCGAACAAGACTGTAAACAATATGCTTAACTTACCAGTGTTTTTGGGAAAACATGCCCGCCACATTTCGTTGCTATCAGTTGAAACGGTCCAAAGATGCTCGGAAGAGATGTATTAATCTTATGAGTCCGAAATATTCCGTGATCGTCGCAGAAAACAAAGGATTTTCGTCGAGAAATTATCTGGGGCTTTTTCACGTCGATCTGGGACTTTTTTGCCTTCTTTTGCAGGCCTCGCGCTATCGCGCTCGGTTCCAAGGATCCTCTGGTCACTCGGATAGCGCGAACAGGCCTGGGTACGAGGCTGGTATTTATCAAGAATTCAAAGATATATTCAAGGAAAATAAGCAGAGTTTTGGAGGTAAAAGCCGTACTTTAACTAAATTCGTCACATTTAAAGAATAAACATGTACTGCCGACAAAGTCTTTACGGCGTTGTACAGTATTTGCAGATCAGCGTCCTTCATCAGGTTGTCAAGAAAAGGTCTTCAGTTCGTCTACGGTTAACGGTTTTTCCTGCTGGCTGCTACAGCACAACTTTTGATGCTGCTTTCTCTGGATGACAAGCCTCTCCGATTCTAGCTTTCATTTAGTTTCCATATTAACTCGCAATAAAGTTCGTAGTATGTTGTTTTTATAGGATATTTCGCGCTACAAGCAGTATTCGCGAATTGCCTGTATCTAAAGACTTCTCCATGCTCTTTGTCAGGGTCCAAAATTGGTTCACCAAGCCAGTGCTCGACATATGTGTTTAACCTAATAATTTGAGATAGTTTAGAACACAGCTCTCTGCTGCTCCATCTCTGATAAGCCTTATATCTTGTGGTACAAGAGCATGAAATTTTCACGAAATATATTAACGTAGTACCCGCTCTGTCCCTTGCACCACAGGGATGAGTTATTTACGCGGTCTTTTAAACAATTTATTCCTTTAGCCTTTTAATTAAACTTAGCTTTGGAAGCATTTACTTGTTAAACCACCGATTTAGCAATGTCATTTGCTGCATACAATAATAATTGGATATTATTGATCCATGAAAGAGCTCAAAAAAGCTATAAATTTTTTTCAGCCAACCTAGATAAGATTAGATTAGAAAGATTTTTTAATCCGTTTTGAGGGGACGGGAGGTTAATCTTAGTGTGTTTTATATGTGTTTTCGAATTACCCTTATAGTAAAAGTTTATCTTAAAAAAGAACTAAATGCCTGAAACTCACGTTTATTTCAAAACTTTTGTGGCCTTTTGTGGCTCGGATGCAGAATCTATCTTTTTACTTTTGTAAGAATTAGGCCGGGCGTTTATATGGGGCGCAGTTTTATACATAATGTAGCTGCCTTGTGAAAAAAAAAAAAAAATTAAAATTAATGTAGCTGGTAAAAATGTATTTAAGTTGAATCTATACTTAGAATGTTGTCAGAATTTAACTCATTTGAACGGGTGAAACGGCGTATTGAGGCGTATCTCTCTGACAAATAATTCGCCATTCAAGCAATCGAATTTCTCGCTCTCTATGATTAAAGCGTTAGCCCATTGTAAAGTACAAATAATGCGAGTGCTATTATTGAAATCATTACGCGGTTACAAGGAACAACTGTAGGTGAGTATTTTAAGGTGTCGTAAAACACCCGTGGCACTAAAGCCCTTTTAAAGGTACTTAAACAATCAAATAAAGTCTTACCCCAAGGAATGTCAGTGTATCCTCCAAAGACATATTGACCTGCCTGTATGATGGTCACAGTATTTCTTTTACCGTTACAGCTATCATGGAAGGTCTTGGCTTTCCAACCATGTGCGGTGGCATTGTAGCAAAGAAACCAGGAAGAATCCTCCCCAACCCCAGGAGCGCTAGCAAGAAAACGGTGAAGATGTCGGAGATAATACTGATTTCCATGTAATATTGTTGAGTTTATTGAAAATTCTGAAAATTGAAACACATTGACGATACAAAAAGGTTAAATGGATGAGAAAATATCACGGTCAGGGAATCTATGCTTATATCTGCAAACTTAGCCACAGCCTCATTTTACTCATGTCCTGCAGGTAGAATAGATAGAGAGGTAGATAGGCGGTACATAGTGAATGGACGACGAATGAATATGGATGGATGACCAATCTTTCTTTAAAAAAAGACGTGCATGCGTGAATATTAGAATGATAATGAACAAAATGAAAGCCGAAGATAACATTAAAAACAAAACCAGTCAAAACAAACAAAAAAGACCATTAACTCCATAGCAAGTAGGAATAGCAGCAAAGCCACGCGACAATTCCGAAATGAGCGAGAATGCGAAAGTGAGTAATAGCACGGTTCTGCTAAGGTACATATCTTCTTTAGCTTTCTTTTACTGGTTCATTTAGGTGTCCGATTTGCTCAAACTCGAGGTAAAACTGAAATGTTATTTCTGACAAATGAGCCCGCGAAGAAGGCAGAAATAAATTAATATTTTGACGGCACGAGATACAACAGCGCCTGGGTAATAGGCCAGGTGCACCATAATATAGGTAGCCATATTGGGGGTATATAAGGCTGCGTATATCACGTGTACGTCATCTAGGCTTACGAGCCAACCTCTCTTTGGTTTTTCTTAAATTTTTATTTTATTTACTTTGTAGAAGCAACATATTCTCGATTACATTGTAAAGTCCCATAGGAATGGCTTTGAGCTTGAGCCTTGGTTCCTACCCAGATTTCCTGCCCGCATTTTTTTCCTCCTGGGTTTTTTTTGGGCAGTTTTTTTTCTGGCCTCCGTCTGACGGCATTTACTTCAGTTTGTATGCGGTAGCTCAGCTCTGCTAGTTTTCAGCTTTTTTCCCGTTTCTTATTTTATGTACTGGTACAGTTATCCCAGTTTTGCACCTGCTCCTTTATTTGATAGATTTAGTTTATATGTATGCTTAGGGTCCTTAGGTCAGCTGTCCCGAAATCGCTCTTTAGGAGGCGACATAATTAAGTCTCGTTTGACGCATTTAGATTGCACGCAATGTTACAGACCTCTAGCCAGGTTCGTTATCCATTTGTTTACCCTCAATGTCCTGCCCTAGCCTTTTCTGGCAGCCTTACTGGTTATTGGGCTACGTGCCTTGTTGGGTGCATTAGTGAAGTCATAGTTAATTCCCAGTTTTCCTGGCACTCAGCCTCTGTGCTCCTGAAGTGTTCCCAGTCCCAATTATCCGTTGATCAGAGTTTTATTAAGTTCCCTCAGCCTAACTGGCCGCCTAACTGGCACTAAGCCTGCCTGCTTATTTACCTACCGTGTTCCCTGTGCCAGTTATCCGTTGTCAGAGTTTTATTAATAAGTTTCCCCAGGCTAACTGGCACCAAGCCTTTGTGCTTGTTTGGGGGATTCAGGTCAAGAGCGACCATTTGTTGCACGAGTTTTTTCGTTTGTGAAAGCTAGTTTACGAGTGTTGAACATTAGGTATTCACTAGTAATCACCTATTATTGTATTTACATAAGTACTTTGTAGGGTTGGTTCTCGCCAAGCCGTCCCAAAATAAACTTATTTGGCTTTACGTTTTGTCTGTTGATGTTGTGTAGTGGAGTCAAAATTACATTTTTTATGGGATAATCGTGGACGGAAGGATGTAAATAGAGGGTTTGACGGATGGATGGGTACTAGATTAATACCAATCTTTTTTAGGGTAGTTCAAAGACTATTGGACATCGCGTTAATGTCTTTAAGAGATCACTGGCATTTTCCAAAGTAATAACATTATTCCCTGATATGCGTCTCAACCATGCATCAGTTCGAGCACTGCCAGTATTGTATAATTGTTAGTTTTTGTTTTGGGGCAGAGCTACACTTGTACATGCATGCATCTGCGTTTCGAGTGATCCCGTGATTCAGCGCTGGTCTTACAAATTCTACACACACAATTTTCTCTCGAGTTAGTTATGTCGTGAACTGTGGTAATGGTTAATATGAACTGATGCGGTTTCTCCGCCAAGAAGAGCTTCTGCATTTATCCACAACCTGACTTGGCAGGAATAGAATATTGGTCGCTTTGTGAACCATAATATTTCTATCCAAAGTAAAATTGTGCAAGAGCTGTTTGAAAACGTGTAACTGGTTTGTTGTGTACTAAGCCACCTTCTAAGACTTGAAAAAGGCTGTTCCGGATCTCTTTTTTTTTTTCATTTAACCCTTTAAACCTTAAGAGTGATCAGCATCAAATTTCTCCTTGTAATAGCGATGCTTTGTAAAACAGAGTTGTAATGAGAATTAAGGACATGATCACACAACATGTATTTGCTTGATATTTTGTCAACTCCTCCCCACTACCTCTACAGTAAATGAATAGGGGCAACAAAGGAGAATTTTAATTTAGATCTTAGGGTTTAAAGGGTTAAAGAATCAGTCGATCATTAATGGATGGTGTTTATCTCGGTCAATCATCTTATCTTATTATTCCCATCGTAGTACAGAAAAGGGGGTTATTAGTTACTCCTTATAAGTTATCCGAGGATGTATTTTACATGATGATGCAAATATTTAGAGAGAGCTCTGACGTTATCCCGATAATAGTCGTGACGACTGAGATGTTAGATTTGAAGAAGTAAGTAAATAAAAAATGAATAAATAAATGAAATTATTATAAAAAGAGCGAGTAACAATTTCTTATAATTTACCTCAATTTATAATATTAGTCATTACTGGACATTAACCCTTTTTGCACTGAACCAGAAGTCTAAAAACTAACGGAAAGCGAGACAGGAATTCCAGGACTGATTTCCAATGTACCCTGGTTTGCAACTACAGTTGAAGGACCCTTCAGTGTTGGTGCAGGTGGCATTTTCACTACAATTGTGAGAGTTGTTCAGGCATTCGTCTTCGTCTGAGTGATAATTTTATTAAATGTTAAATTTATTGTGACTGAACAAACAGGTAGACAATATAGTGACCAGTCTGTCAGTAAAACAGATATTTTAGGACAGGGAAAGTGCTTTAACCGTAGTTCGGTTAAAACACATTCCCTTTCTCAAAATATCTGTTTACTGACTTGGCAGGAATATTGGTCGCATTATGAACCATAATATTTCTGTCCAGGGTAAAATTGGGCGAGAGGTTTTTGTAAAAGTGTAACTACTGTTTGTTGGGTGACTGAGAATGACGTCAGAATTTTTTCGCTCACCACGCCACCCTCCAAGACTTGAAAAAGCTGTTCCGGACCTCTCTTTTTCCAATTAAAGAAGTAGTACGATCATGCATTAATGGGTACTGTTTATCTCAGGCAACCATCTTGATATCTTACTCCTGTCGTAGTACAGAAAAGCGGGTTAAAGTTACTCCCTCTTGTTTTTCCGCGTTGTTTAAGAGTTAGCCGAGGGTGTATTTTACATGATGTCGCAAATATTTAGAGATGAGCTCTGACTTTATCCACAATGCGTGACGAGTCAGAGATATTAGATTTGAATAAGTAAGTAAATAATAATGAAATAAGTAAATGTATATATTTTCAAAAGAGCGAGTGACAATTTTCTATAATTTGCTGCATTAATTATAGTAGTACATCGCTGAACATTTACTTTTTTTCCTAAATTAGTAGTACCAAAACTAACAGAAAGCGAGACAGGAATTCCAAGAACCAACCTGAACAGTTGTGGCCATTTCCAATGTACCCTGGTTGGCAACTACAGTTGAAGGACCCTTCGATGTTGGTGCAGGTGGCCTTTTTGCTACAATTGTGAGAGTTGTTCAGGCATTCGTCTTCGTCTGAGTGATAATTTTAGTAAATGTTAAATTTATTCTACCAGAACAAACAGTTAGTTAATATAGCCACCAGTATAATATAAAACACATTTCCTTTCTCGCAGTGGTTTCAGAACATGACATCAATCACTTCTCAAACTAAGGCGAAATGTTGTAAATGGATTTTAAAAAAGTTAAAGAATTTTACCTGTACAATTGTATCCATCTCCTTCGTACCCTGGCTTACAGGAGCAAGTGAATGATCCTTGGGTATTATGGCACAGAGCTTTCTGGTGACAGTTTTTAAAATCTGTGTGACATTCGTCTATGTCTGAAACAAAATTGCAATAAATTGGCACTAAAGAAGGGGAAATTAGCATAAACACTTCATTCTATATAATAGACATATATAGCATAATCAAGTCCTTTCAGCCAGCAAACATGCCCTCCCTATATATCTCTAAATGTTTTGTCTCTCCGCCGAAGAAAAAATAAGGAATGCTTGATCATCAGTTTAAGTCCCACTGAAGAAATTGCGTAGCAAAATGACTTTTTTGTGGTTGAAAGAACGCGCATCCCTCTCACGCTTGTTCCACCTGTTAGAGAAAAAACAACAACAAAAAACAAACTTAGGTATTGGTTGGAAAGGTGGAACATTCGCAGAGTATCATTCCAGTATAATTGTAACTGTCTCCTTCGAATCCTGGTTTGCAAAAATGGTTTTAAGATCCATCAGTATTGTTTCTTAATGCGTTAACGTCACATCCGTGATTTCCTTGTGCACATGTCTAAAAATTAAATTTCGGCCAGTCATTGAATTGATTGCCTGCACTTTCAGATTACATTATATGGCTTAGTATTGAGTTCTTACCTTTTTGACAGCGCTTACCCCTAAAACCAGGAGGGCACAAACAGCGATATCTTTCTACTGTGAACCCGGATTGACAGGTTCCTCCATTTAAACAATTGAACTCTTCACAGGCATTCTTAAACGAGAAACAGAGAACATAGTAAATGAAGCAAACGAGTAGCTGGATGATTAGGGTGAGGTGATATAATCAGCAGAAATTTTGCTTTTCACCTTAAAAGACGGGAGGGGAAGGAGAGCAGTTAACAAGAAATAACTTACATCTGCTCCATGATAGAGGTAACCATTTTCATCTTTGAACTCGTTATTATGCCATCGATGAGTAGCGTTGTTCAACTCACATGTTTTTGTGCTCACATGATAGTTGACACTCACGCAGTTGTGTTCATAGTAACAATGCAGCTTGCAGTTCTCAAATTCAGCAACAATTTTAGTTCCTATAGTGTGGTTCACCAAACGCTTGCTAATAAAGGAGAAAGGTCCTGGGAACTCTAGTGTACGACCATTATCTGAACAAGAAAGAAACAATGGCTTCGTAATTTTATGGGTAAAAAATACTACTTGTGCGGGAGTTTTCCTCTGAGGTTCCCTTCGGGGTCTTTGTCTTAGAGCAGGGACCTACGTGTAACTGATGTTTATATTTTAGCAGTGGGAAGAGAGCCCCAACTTTGAAGAGGAACTTACATGTTCCCCGTCGCTCAATTCCCTCTACTGCAAGTTAATTTCCGCTAATAACTTGTGCAGAAAATAAGAAATTTCAGTCATGCAAATTAAGAGATCAATTAATAATTAAGTGTTCTGGTTACAGTCAACTCTCGCCTTGCGGACACCCCACTATTACGGACACCCCGATAAAACGGACGGTAGCTAAATCCCGGGCAAAAACAAAATACAGATGTTTGACTGAAATAAATTCTCACTACAGTCAACTTCCTTTACAGCGGACACTACAGGGACCTCGAGTTAGTGTCCTCATTAGCGAGAGTCCGTAATAGTGAGAGTTTATTTCAGTCAAACATCTGTATTTTGTTTTTGCCCGGGATTTAGCTACCGTCCGTTTTATCGGGATGTCCGTAATAGTGGGGTGTCCGCAAGGCGAGAGTTGACTGTATTACGGACTCTCGCTAATGAGGACACTAACTCGAGGTCCCTGTAGTGTCCGCTGTAAAGGGAGTTGACTGTATAGGCAGTCAAAATGACAACAAATAAAAGAGAATTCTAGTTGCACTGTTGTTTTCAAACAATTCCTTCCCATGTTGTTAATATTGCCAATCCACCCTCTTATTGGCCAAAGAACTTAACGTTAGCAAAGAAATTATTTGTGAATGACAAGATCACTGCTTCATTGCAAACAAATATGTCTTCCAAGCATTAATTATATCAAACGTTATAGATCGAACTTTGAAAAACTAAATAACCGGTACTATAGGACTGAATTATAGCGAACTAACTAAGCTCCAGTACAGGGATAAGCTGAAACCAAACTTCCCTCCAACTAAATGGTGCAGCAACAAAGAGAAAATTGTGCTGATTCGAATGGAGGCTGATGTAACTGTATATTTATGGACAATTTCAAGTCTTAATTATTTCATGCAATGCTCAACTTAACTGTTAAAATTCGTCGAAGGAGTTTTCATGACTATCGGTAAACTATCAGTAAAGTAACCAGGGTCCGATTTTATGATTCCCACTGGGCAAGAGCCATTATGGATCTTGCACAAGGAGAATGGAATCACGCTTTTGGAAATAAATAAAAATATATGGCAGAGAAAAAAAGAAGAGAAAAGAAGTAGAGAATGGTCCTGTTTTAGTCTTCATTTTTAGCTTGCCAAGAAACAAGGACTGAACTGTCATTCAAGGCCTTAACAAATGGGATCCTCTTTCATCCTTTTGACAGTCCAGGATCGTTATCAAATTTGATAACCATGTGACGTCACAACATGGTGGCCATTTCAAAAGTCGGGAATTTTCGTACTCGCCTTTCTTTATCCGAGATTTTGTCCGATCTTGTTCGGTGTAAACTCGTCAGATACCCATGGTTCTGTTCGGCAAGGCCCAGGAGCTTCACATGTTTCAAAATGACAGATGTGTATCACTCGTATTGAAGTAAATTTCCCTCTCAAAGTGAATCGTCCATCAGATTTTTGTTCCGAGATCAGGTATGTTTTTCCACTTCGTTGTTAAATTTAATGTACTTGTCGATTTTTGTGAGAGTTGCAAAAAATCTGGCGTTATATCCAAGGTTTATGCTTTCGATGCAGCATGTTTCTGTTGTTGTGCACAATCTCTGAAAAAAGTGCATCAGGTATTTTTATTCGCAATGCGCTTTCAATAATGTCGGCCATATTTGATTGATGTCTTCCTCAAGGTGCTGAGATGGCAGATTATGCCCATAGAAGCAGAATTTCAAAGTTATGTCGCCTTTGTGGCAAGATCGCGTCTTCAAATACCTCCAGACCAAAGGAAAAAATTAAAGAAGATTTTAAACAATACTATGGCGTTAATGTTGAGGACGACAGTACAGTAACGCTATCCACCCATCCAATGTTTGTGGGGGCTGTGTAAGGTTTTTATATCGCCTGAGGAAATCATCTTCCGTTCCCCTCGCCAAAATTCCATTTACTTGGGAGCCCCACAATGATAGCAATTGCAGCATATGCACAGAGGAACGCAAAGACCTAGACCCAGTAAGAAGAGAAAGCGATTGGTTTCTGGAAATCAAAGCGGCACAGATAGCGGGGAAAGAGCCTGATGATGAGTCAGAGAAAGAGTCTTGCAACCTGTTCCGGTGAACTTTCAGAAAATCTACATCGTCTTGACATAGAACTGGCAAGAGAGCTTTGTCAGAACATTTGCTCTCTCTTTGGATTAGTATTTATTATTCCTGAAGATATGTTTTCTTCAGTAAAAAACCTTGAAAGGCAGTTCATTTTACAGTTGGTTGAGACAATATTTTGCCTCGAAAGAGAGAATCGTAAATGTGACAATGTTGATTTGAGTTACAAAAACATTGATAATTTACTGAAAGTAACTCCAGAATCCTGGCTTTCTTCAACATACAAATTCGCCTTTGAAAAGTGCAGTCAGTGGCTTGAGTGATGACAGAACCAAGCCTGTCAAAAAAGTTATAGTAGTAGACCACATGCAAAGTTTGGTGAAGCTCAACTTTATAAGCCCAGTCATGTTTGGAGCCAACCTTGTAATGTACTTAACAGCACGGAGTAGAATGGCTGATGGTATTTATTGGAAACGTCATCCGGGTGCACAGTACAAAGTTATGAAATCCTGGTTGAATGGGCTGACGATGGAAATTCCTGCCATGCCAAAGAATGACATTTTGACAGCAATTGATAATGACCAGGTTCTGTTAAAGAAGTGGACTGTTCGTAAGGATAACCATAGCCAGATGAGCATCTTGACAAGTGGATGTTGTGCAGAAGTTGGCTAGGGTGATGCAGATTTGCAAACGGATGAAAAGCTTGCACCAAGGTAATGAAAACACTTTGTGAAGCATTTCTTTGATATTATTACCTACTGCCCTTGACCATGCCTTGGGCTTTGGAATTTCTACTGTTTTGAAAATGTCACTGCCAATTCGCCAAATTCTGGCAATTTCCAGTTCAGCGGGGATGGGAGTAGGCCAGCAGTTGAACTCCTTATATGTGCATGTTCACATGTAGAGTTTTCTTGTACACTGTATATGTACATGTATAGTTGTGGTTCAATGTTATCCTGGTCTGGATTTTAATTTTTCTTTGTTTTATTTATTTATTTATTTTTTTGATATGTGATAATGAGATTGTAACAAAGGAAAGTAAAATTTAAACCAAGGACAAAAAGAATCAACGAGAAAATGGGGGCAGAGTAACTGTGTGCCTGTGACTGCCCTTTAAAGCTTTAATACTATATGCACTACATGTGGCTAACTTTGTATTTTACATTTGTATACAGTATGTGTTTTTAGAAGTGCTGTAGTTTTAAGTCATTTTTGAAGACGTGACGTTAACATTTGTAATTTACAGAAAATGGTGCAACAGACTGGCAGGGGCAAAGGTTAACTCTCCTGAGAGACAACGACTTATTGACGATTACTCTGCAACAGCTGATGATGTCCTAATATTGCAAAAAGAGGTAATCATGAAGGGCTTTATTAATATTATTATTGACATAAATAGTGTACAACAGACTGTAATAATGAGTAAGTAATAACTTTATTTACCAAGGATGACACATTACAGTTAAAAACAGGTAAGCCACTGGCCCTCCCCTAAAATATATAAAACTAATTTACAAATATTACAAAGGGGAAAAACAGTAAAAAGGGTAAAAACGGGGTAAAACAGTAAATGCAATATTAAAAAGGGTGTGACGATGTGAAAATTTATGAAATGGGAAAGCTATCTAAGCCGGCATAGCCTTCCTTTACTTCCTTCATAAAATAAATTGAAATAGTGATGCCATTGAACATGAAGTACAGTAGCTAGGATTATATCCCAACTAAGTGCATGTATCTCCCTCAGCTGAATTCCTATCATTTGACTTAAACACCTTATGAAACCATGGTACTGATGTGTGCATGTATATTGCTCTTTGAACTGAATTGCAAATGTGCACTGATTCAGTTCTATTTATATAATTTTGATAAAATAAGATAATATCGCATGTGTGTACAATCATGCATTTTCTTTTATTCTTTATAGAACAAGAATTATGCAAAAAGTTGTGAAAGAGCATACTACATCTGACGGAATATGGACCGATGACATTGACCAAAGGGTGACATAAATGCAGTCAAGAGAAGGAATTCGCATCTGTCCAGTGTGTAACACCAGCATGTCAAAAACTAAAAGGGAATGTGTGAATAAAGACTGCCGTGTCAGCTTGAAAAGTGCTGAAAAGGCAGCGAGTGGTACCGACATCCTGGTGAGAGCACAGCACAGCAAACGTCTGTAGACGATGTTAAAAATAAAACCTCTATCCTTAACAGAATAACCATTGTGAAAGGTTTGAACCCAGGAGTCATTTCAAAAGGTTGAGTTTGATCGTCCGGGTGAACGTAGTCCTGAATAGGACTGTTGTTGTTGACAGTGACTGACGTTTCGACAACCTGGGCGGTGGTCATCTTCAGAGTCAAAGTGAGTTGTATCACGTCAGTTGATGGTATTATACTCTGGTTATTGATCTGATTGGTCAATTATGTCGTGATGTTATTGGTCGTCTGTCAGTTAAGCCGTGATGTTATTGGCTATGAAGACTCGTAATCAGTGATTGGTGCGTTTCGATCCGTCTATTGTCGCAGTTAAACAGTCGTCTATTGTTAGTCAAATTGTTAGTTCTCCAGTTGTTGTCTCGTAGTTAGTTTTGCTTGATCTCGTCAATAAGTCGTTTGTACGGCGCTGGTAACTGTTGACTACGATTCAGTGGCGTTTGTTCTAAGTTAGTAAACCAGCTTTCTAAAGTAAGACGTTAATAGATAGTCGACGATTTTTACGAACACCTTAACAGAGAGAACGCGGACATACAGTTCACCAAGGAGATCGAAGAAAATGGTAAGATAGACTGCTTGGTCGCTCGCGACAACAACAAACTAAAAACGACTATTTACAGAAAACCGACACATACCGACCGATTACTAGACCAGTCTTCGCACAACCCGACCTCTCACAAGGCTACTACTGTCCGGACTCTGACGAGACGAGCGCAACTAGTTTGCGACCCACCTGACAGCCTACAAGACGAGACTGATTATCTTAACAACGTTTTTAGTAAGAACAATTACAACACGGACTTTGTTAGACGGAACACTCACAGTAACACTGATTCCAACTCTCAGACCAACTCTGGCCCTGTTACGACAGCGACTATACCGTACATCAGAGGCACGTCTGAAACTATTGCACGTATATTACAACCTTAGAATATACGTGTTGCG